CCTATGATCAACTTGGGATATGATTGTTAACTGATAGCATAATATGTAATTTCAATTGCTTTTAAAAGTACTTCATTGTCTTATTGTCTGTTTGTATTACATCCATTTTTTAATATTTTGTATAATAAAAATGTATGATTTTACATAATTGGTGTGGTACCTTCAAAGTCCTATTAGTTTTATTTTTTTGTTAGGGATTGGTTTATGTTAAGTGTCCTTCCCTGCAGCCTCTTCACCTTTTTACACTGCTCACAGTTTGGGAACTCAAAAGCATACATTTATTATATTGCAGCTTATCAATTCTGAGATGTGATGGCTGCATTACAAGAGAGCACAAGCTCTCCTGCACATGTATCAGTTAAGAGTGTTGAGACAAACCATTTACCACTGATATGGGTGGTTACAATACATTGCCCCTCTGCTCCTTAATTCAGAGCTAATACAGGAAGTGTTTTACTGGTTAGATCACCTGGTAAAAACAGAGAGAAAAAAAACCTTTAAAAAGAAACCGAATGCAACCACCACATCCAGTGATTGGTAATCTGCAATATATTACATTTTTGATTTGGGGTTTAATACAGCTTTATTATGCCTGGAAAATGTTTCTGCTTGACTGAATAAAATAATGTCTTATAACCAAATATACATCAAGTATCTAAAAAAAAATTTGGAAAAAAATCTTTCTAAAGAGTTCTTTCTTATATTTTTTATAATATATTTGATGTATTTGTTCCAGGAGTACAAGTTAAATATGTATTAAATTGTTCTGACAAGCCATTGGTATTTAGTAACAGAGTAGAGATCATTCACTTATTAAATGGTCAATTTTCAAAGCAAATGATCACAGACCCTAATAAATAGGATGAAGGTGTGTTCACTTTAAACAACCAATCAAATACTAGAAAAAAATTTAAATCTTTTTACATTTCCTTTGCAAATGGATATTTAACCTGAAAACAATTTAACCGTATTTAGTAACATTCACGCCACTTTTCAAAGTGAACATACAAAGTGAACAGCTTCTTCTCGTTTATAAAATCAACTGCATTGCTTTTCTTTGTTTTCTTTTTGTAAATAACTAAAATGCTTACAGCTGTCCATTTTATGTCAGATTAACCATTTGCTGAAATTCAAAATCAGTACTTCTGATAAGAAGTAGGAGTACCCTCTGATTCTATGTCGGTGGAGGGGGACAGACTCAAAAACCAGTACATGTACTAGATACATAGCTAGTATGTAATGAACCCTTACATTTTTCATACAATATTTACACAGCTTTTACCCAAGATTTACACATATTTCTAATAGGATATAATTAGGAAAATGTGTGAATCCTAGTAAAAATTGCACACATATTTAAGTGAGTTGGATTATTTGTTGTGGAAATAACCATCTGAATCAATACACTTTCACCCCCTTCCTGCCCAGACCTATTTTCTGCTTTCAGCACTGTCGCACTTTGAATGAGAATTGGGAATTGCGGTCATGCGGTCATGCAACACTGTACCCATATGACATTTTTAGCATTTTTTGAGACATATAGAGCTTTCTTCTGGTGGTATTTAATCACCACTGGCCTATTTTATTTTTGCTAAACAAATGAAACTGAACATTTTGAAACGCTTTCCTTACAAAATAAAAACCTGAGACCTAAATGAAACAACCTAAAGTTAATTAAGTGCTGAACTGCAACCTTGGGCTGCTTGTGACCCTCTAGGGCTACCTTGGTGATCCACAAATACTTTTCTAAAATATTTCTAAAATATTTCTAAAATATTTTCCTTTTTTTTATATGGTAACTTTTTTTGTGATGGATAAACAACTCTGCCTTGATTATTTTCATACAGTGCAGGGAACATATCTACCTGCTGCCTTTTGGATCGGAGATTACACCTAGAGGCCTCTAACGTCCTGCTGCCTAAAGGGTGAAATGGGCAGGTCTTCCTGCTATTGTCACACTATGAGATCCAAAGAAAAGTATTGTAGAAAGTGAAAAAACTGCTGGGACCAACAGTGAGCAAATCGCATGAGCAGGCAATGGGGGTACCAGTACACCAACAATGTACAAAATGCCCCAATACAATAAAGTCATGTTTTAATTATTTGCAATTTTTGGAAAATCATAGTTGGCCACAAAATGGTAATTTGTATTAACACTAAATTACAAAATGACATTGATATAGCAATTACTTATGTTATATCAATATTTTATTCACCTTTTCTAACATGTTACATATTACACCCGTATTCAGGGTTCGCTGCAGCTGTTCTTGTGTCTGCTGTCACAATTAAAAAAAGAAATGGTTGTGCGGGGCTCCGCCCACCCAGCCGCAACATTCATTCACAGAATTCTGTGAAAGAAAATCAACAAGTCCCGACAGCCTTTGCAGCTGTTGGCTTGAAGTTCTCAATGAACTACCAATGTGCTGTTGAGGGCTGTGGGAGTTCATTCTCTCTTCCTGTCTGTGTGTATCTGCTGGCCTATACGAGGTACAAGCAGACAGATATACAGACAGGTCTGCAGGAGTCCTGCATGGCACCCTCAATCTGCTGATCGCAGGTGCAATTCTTTCTAGGCTGCTAGTAAAAAAATAATACATGCACATTTTTTTACATGAAAAAAGATTGCATTTATTCTTTTTTTTTACAAAGGTAAACTTATCCTTTAACAAAAATTAATCTACCCTTTGAATGTAATGTAAAGGGCATGTTCAGTGCAAACATTTGGTGCATTATTATTGTAGTATTTAACTTAAAGTTCAATTGAAGCCTTGGTATTTATTACTGTACCAATAAAGGAAGAAAAAAATATATTTGAAATATATTTTAAAAATATTCTTTCCAAATATTATGCCATATATTTGAAATACTACAATTTTGACCATATTCAATTTATTTAAAAATATATTTCAATAAATATATATATATATATATATATATATATATATATATATATATACTGCATGTTGAAATGCATTTTTATTACAAAATATATGAAAATATTTTTTAAAAATACATTTTAAATATACTTTATGTCTTTAGAAATACAAATCTACATTTTTGGAATGCATTTACAAATATATGTAAAAATATATGTTAAAATTACTTTTTTATATGTTAAAAAACCTGAAGAATATATTTTAAAAAAACATAAACGCATTCCAACATGCAGTAATATATATATATATATATATATATATATATATGTTTATTTATATATTGAATATGGCCAAAATTGTAATATTTCAAATATATGGCAATATATTTGGGAAGAATATTTTTAAAATATATTTTTCTTCCATGTGGGTAATGCAGTCATTTGAAACTTCTTCTTTAAAGTATATGTATACCCCAAAATATTTTTTTTGAGTATAATTGACATCCTTCCTCAGTGTATACAGTTTTCTTCAGTTGGCTGTTGGGCTTCCTATCAGGTCTGCAGCAGGTGTGTGCATACCTGATAGAGAGCTCAGTGGGCAGCTAAAGGAGTTTTCACAGCGGACTGATAATATTGCTGGTAACTGAAAGGTAACGCCTTAGTGCTGTCATCATAAAACAGTAAGGACAGGATCTCCAGGTAAGAAACGTTGATACATATTTACAAAAATGATTTGCTTAAGAAAACAGTAAAATCAGTCTGTATATGCAGCAAGCATGCTTGTTATACTCACTGTGGAACCTAAGGGGTTAATCCTCTTCATTGTGTAAAAAGACTGTGTGATCCTGCCTTCTCTAATCCTCCCCTAATTCTACTGTCCTCAATCAATCTGCTGATAGTACAGAGCTCTAGGAGTCACTCTGCACATGCTCAGTTTAGTGTGTATGGCTAGAGAGGTTTTTTTTTCCTTTGGTAGGGTGCATGTGATCAGCACTGGGCCAATCAGTGTTGTCTAGACAGAGCGTCAGAGGTCATGCAGCCTCATAGGACAGTCATAGAAGAATGAAAACTCCTCCTACAAGCTTTAACTAGTGCTCAGCCAGAACGCTGCTATATACTGCTGCTGAGAAAAGGTATTTAGCAGTTTATATTTAATAAAATAATTGCATTTCCATGTTGTGTGTACTGTGGGAGACCAGATATAGTGGATGCAGGGTTATGGGTTTAATACTAAACTGTGTAGCCATGAAGTAAGACATACTAAAAATAGATTTTTGGTTTACATACAAGTTAAAATAATTTTTATGTGAGTTTCATATTTTACATGCTTGTACTTCTATGTTATTGTTTTAAATGTAAAGATTTGTTAATATCTGCTGGACAAAAAAAAAATACTTCTGCTCCAAAATATCAACCACAAAGGGAGTGCATTGTTTTATATAAATCAGATGAATAATGGGGCTTATTTTAGTAATAGAGTGCAATCTGTTAGTGGAATGTTCAGTGAGCCGAATTCCCCTCAATCAACCGATTATGTTCAGCTTTTGAATTTCTCTTGCTCTTGATTAGATATTCATGGTAAGCACGGGTTCACTTTATTTACTTTCACTTTGCAAGATCACTTTTAAAAGCACTGACAGCACCCTAGGACAGCTCATTGTGTCTTGGAAAATGTATTGCTGAGAACCTTTAGCTGTATGTATGCTCACAGCGTGTTCAGTAATGTAATATACTTCTACAAAGAAAGAGTAAACCTCAAAACTGTGTAAAGTAATAGAGATACAAAAATAGATCTTGCTTGAGATAGCAAATCTTTATTGGGAAACAAATTAGCCAGATCCAACACTAAAAACTATATCAGTTCACTGAGCAACACAATCACTTTAGAACTATTGGCTTTCACCGAATAACAGAGGAACTATCGTTATCTCGATTATAATATGCAGCTTAAGGTTTCAAGATCTGTCTGATATACTCTATTACTGCTGACCAAAGTTGCTCCCTTTTCAGAGCCTAAGTAAAATATTCCTCAAAGTATAACCTACTTCCATTTTAAAGGAGTGAATTTCAGTTTCAGTAAACACATCTGAAAATCAATAAAATATATCTTCTCTGAGGTGTCTCAAGAGCTTGATATTGATATTATTTTTTTTCTTGTCTTTTCAATCATGGTTTCTACAATCATGGCAGTTTCTTCATAACTCTTCACTCTGTCATCAGAAATTTTTTCAATTGATTCCACTACTTCAACTTTTTCATAACTCATAGAGCTTGGAAAATCTCTTCCCCGGAAAGGCCTCAGACTTCTTTCTTCTTTGTTATTATCACTTTGGCCTCTGCTAGGTCTTTGAGTTTTTACGGAATTGGAAGAAGAACCTCCGGATCCATGTTTGTTGTCTGGTCTAGTGACATCTGGTGGCTTCTTTGCTTCCTCTTTATTCTCTGGTTCTTTGGGATCTTGGTCTTTTTTCTCATCGTCTTTCTGTTTTGTCTTGTCATCATCCTCTGCCTCTTTTTCTTTTTTCTCCTCTGAACCATCTTCATCTTCTTCACTTTCTGATGATTCTGAAGGTTCAGGTAATTCTGGAATAGGTAGTACAATGTCATCACCTGGTAAAATTTCAGGTATGATGCTAACAGTTATCCTACCTCCTGCTTGTGGTGTGGAGGAGCAGAAGAAGGGGTCCATGTAGCTAGATTCGCCTGTAACTAGAACATAGCGACCTTTGGTGAAGAAATCCGGAGAAGGCTCTGGTTTCTTGTATCCTCTTATTCTATCTCTTACTATATTACATAGCTTGTCAAATGCTTTACTTATCTGTGCGCCATCTGGTACATCTTCTGGAGATAAATCATGCTCATACCTTTCAGCTTCTTTTTCAGCTTCACCATAAGCAGAATCATCATGCTTCATTTCATATCTCTTGTCTACACTTTCCTGCATTCGCTCTATGCCTTTGTCCTCATTACTAACATCACTTTTATCCATGGACAGCTCTTTTTTCCGTGACATTTTCTTTGGGACACCCTTTTGCCTTGGTTTGGCTGTAGCTATATCTTGTATAGCCAGTGTTATATCTAAAAATCAATAAGGACTCATCAGCAGTTGTTCAAGCATCAACATTTTATATACAAGTCAGAAATTTATGACAAACTTTTAATGCATGCAATATTTTTAAGACAACAATATACTAAAGAAACTCCTACAATGTTCTTGTGACTTATTTGAATTACGTTTGAAGATGAAAGAAAATAACATGCTTCAGATGTGCCTGAAAAGGTTTCTTGCACAAGACACATAAATGTCTGATGTGTCAGAATTATTGTGTCAGCTAAGTAGAAAATATCAAAGAAAATCAAACACCTAACACTGTTGTTCTCATGTAAAACATTTGAATAAAAATAACTTCACATATAGTCAAGCCGAATAAACTGGGATATTTTTTTTTTTTTATCCTAAAAGGAGTGTCACTAAAACACAATTACAAAGTATATAGGAACTGACCATTCGAGCACTCAGGCACTGCCCGAGGGCCTGGGGTCAGTAGGGGGCCCCATGAAATGCCCCACCAGGTACCTTTTTTATAGGCTTTTTTGAGTGTGGGCAAGGACACGGGCCCCATGATCCCCTATTGCCCGGGGACCCCATGAGTTGTCAGTCCGCCCGATAGGAACCCTGGTAGAAAATGAAAATACTTCTAGATGTTCTGTGTAACATACTGCTTTACTTTGTTGAAGGACACAGAATGGAGGACACTCAAAACGAACAAGTTCATCTAATCTGACCCTAGCTCTCACGTCTCTGTAGTCACGTGTTTGTGAATTCTCTTACTTAACTTATGGTTGTATTATAATGCATAATTTGCCAGCAACAAAGCCTAGCATGAGCACTCATAAATGAACACACATATCTCTGGTCATGATACTAACCCTCAACAATCTCTGGAGAGTATTTTTAGATCTTATCTACAAAGCAGGGCCAGTTCACACCGCATGCAGTCCTGTGCACTTTTTTCTGCATCAGGAATGCATGGATAGTAGGTTATATGGTTTCCAATGACATAGTTCACATCAGTGCAGTCGGTTTCTGTGTGTTCCAGTTCCAGAAAAAAAAAAGAACATGCTGTATCTTTTCTGCATTTTTTACTAGAACGCAGTTAAGCGCATACAAAAAGTACTAAAAATGCACCAGAATGCACGTCTTTATTAGGTTGAAGGGAAAAAAATTAACCGGAATGGATATAAAAAAGCATCAAAATAGAATAAAAAACACACTGGAACGCATCAAAAACGTGTCATAAACACGCATGCAGAAACGCATCCGGAAAGCATCCAGACTGCATTTCTATGATGTGAATCAGCCCTAAATGTGTGTAAACTTTCAACTGATGACATAAAAAACCCTTATGTGGTCCAGAGACAAGAACCATTGGGGTTGAATAACTAGTGTCAAATAGGATGTTCACTTTTTAAAATAATTTTCCCTAGCTTAGTGAATGAGATGGTGCTCTGTTGACTTCCATCATCCAATCACATGCAATCAAAACTACAGTTCTCTTATTTTCCTTGCCCGTGATTGAGTATTCTTTTTAAAGTGAATTTTCACCACATTCACTAAATTGATATTAAAGGTTTTTATTTATTAACCGGTTCCGCGCCATGCTATAGCAGAAATACTGCTACAGATCGGCATGGGTGTGCAAAATCATATATATATACGGGATTTTGTAGTTCTGGGTAGGGGGCTCCTCCATTCGCGGCCTCGGCTGTCAATCACTGGGTCCCGCCCGGTGATTACTCGCTAGCACCCACGGGGGAGAGACATGTGTATAAACAACACAGATGTCTCCCTTGTCAGCTCCTGCACACTGGTTTGTATGACTCTGCAAAGAAGAGCCATACAAAGCAGTATGCTTACAATGAGGCACACACACAGCCAACATAGTGAAACAGCACATAATCCTTTGATCATGCCAGATGTTAACCCCTTCCTGCCCAGTGCCATTAGTACAGTGTCAGTGCTTTTTATCAGCACTGATCACTGTATTGGTGTCTCTGGGGATGTCAGTGAGACCAAGTCAGTTCCCCCCAGTGTCAGAATACCCGCCACAGTCCCGCAGTCCCGCTATAAGTCGCTGATCGCTGCCATAACTAGTAAAAAAGAAAAAAAAATCCAGTATCTATACCACCATTTGTAAACGCTATAACTTTCACATAAACCGATTAATTTACGCATATTGGGATTTTTTTTTAGCAAAGACATGTCGCAGAATACATTTTGGCCTAAATGTATGACTACAATATTGTTTTTTTCTCAAAATTGTCTTTTTTTTTTGTTTATAGTGCAAAAAATAAAAAACACACAGACGATCAAATGCCACAAAAAGAAAGCTCTATTTGTGGGGAAAAAAAGGACAAATTTCATTTGGGTGCAGCGTTGCATGACCGTACAATTGTCAATTAAAGTAACGCAGCACTGTATTGCAAAAAATGGCCTGGTCAGGAAGGGGGATAAATCCTTTGGAGGGCAAGTGGTTAAATAACAAACATCTCATACTTACCTGCTGTGTGCAGTGATTGTGCACAGATCATCTCAATCCTCCTCTTCTTGGGTCTCCTGCTGGAGCTCCTGCCCCCTCCCTCCTGCCAAGTGCCCCCACAGCAAGCAGCTTACTATGGGGGCACCCAAGCAGGCACAGTCCTGAGCCACTGCTCTGCATGTCCATTCACACACAGAGCCGCAGCTCAGTCACGCCCCATCTCAGCTATCACTGCTGTCTCAGCCAAAGAGGAGGGAGAGTCCTGTAGAGCCGAGGCTCTCATGCACATCCCTGGATCGTGATGGGGCTCAGGTAAGTGTTAGGGGGGGAGCTGGGGGGGACTGATGCACACTGAAGATTTTTTACCTTCATGTATAGAATGCATGCAGATGAAAAAGCTTAAGCCTTTACAACCGCTTAGACGGAAATTTTAGGAAAATTCATCTGTAAAGTAAGAATTTTTGCAAAGCAAACAGCCTATTTGTAAATACATTTTATTCTGTTCCACTATGCTGCCTGAGCACCTCTCTAACCTTCTCCTACCTTTTAAGACCCTGGCTTTAAGGTGAAGGGGAATTTTTGACTGCTATCATGACCAACTGTTACATATTACAAAGCATTGCCTAACTATAACTGTTTTTTTTAAAGAAATGCTGAATCCCTTTTTTTAATGCTTTACATGATGGTCACATCACCGCAAATCCTCTGTATCCTCATATTGTGCTCCTTAAAAACAACCACACTGTCTTCCAGAGCAGCCTGTATTTCTTCTGTGGGTTTTTCTTTGTATCCTGAACAATTCTTCTGGCAGTTATGGCTGCAATCTTTTTTGGTCTACCTGATGTTGGCTTGGTAGCAAGAGATCCTTGAATTTTCCACTTCTTAATAAGTGATTGAACAGTATTGACTGGCATATTCAAGGCTTTGGATGTCTTTTTATTTCCTTTTCCATCTTTATAAAGTTCCATTACCTTGTTAAGCAGGTCTTTTTGACAGTACTTTTCTGCTCCCCATGGCTCAGTATCTAGCCTGCTCAGTGTATCCACGTGAAAGCTAACAAACTCATTGACTATTTATATACAGACACTAACTGCAATTTAAAAAGTCACAGATGTGTGAAATTAACCTTTAATTGCCATTTTAACCCCTGTGTGTCACCTTGTGTATCTGTACCAAGACCAAACATTCCAGGGTATGTAAACTTGTGATCATGGCCTTTTGGGTGATTTCTGTTATCACTATGATTTAAAAAGGAGTCAAACAACTATATGATAATAAATGGCTTCATATGATCACTATCCTTAAATAAAAGACAGTTTGTTGGCAGGATCAGTCATATTTTCAATATTAATGCCTAAATGTCACCATTTCTGCCAGGGTGTGCAAACGTTTGAGCAAAACTGTACATAAAAACAAAGACACCTATATCCAATATTAACTTTGGAGTGAAGTACACTTTAATGTCTTTAGCGTCCGATTGCTATTAAAGTACCATAAGATAAGGCGCAAAGCATACATCCGTGACACATTTTCTACCTTGCCTTGGAGAAAAGTCCCTGTCTGGGACAAAGAGAGCTAGCACAAAATTGTCCGCCAAAGAACTAACTAAAGCACCCAATACACCTATTTTTCTTGTGCATGTAAAACCATCAACAAAGAAGCCACATTGAAAAATGAAAAATACTGTACCAGCAGTTCAGACACTTTCATATAAAAAGTCCATTGGCATCGCAGTATAACTATTATCATACATAATTTAAGAGATTTTATGAGAAACCTTTAAAAGAAATTTGCTCTTTCTCTCTCCAGGCTAGTGACTTCATTTTGAGTGATTCTTAATAATTTCAGCTTTAAGAGTCAAGAGCAAAACAGCTGTATTTACAACATAATTGCATTTCAGTGGTTTAACTTATAATGAGCATGGCACACTAAGGGGGAGATTTACTAAAATTGGAGAGGGCAAAATCTGGTGCAGCTCTGCATAGAAACCAATCAGCTTCCAGCTTTTATTGTCAAAGCTTAACTGAACAAGCAGAATGTAAGGGAATTCCTGTGAGACGGCTGGCTAATAGAAATTCGCATGAGCATAGCAATCTCCGCAGAATAGTGACCAGACGTGCGCATGCGCACAGAAATGCGCTATCGTGCACAGGCACACGCACGGTGAATATTGGCGCCAGACGGACTATTTAAAGGATGCTTCTGCCTGTGCTTAGTGCTGACTAGTCTCCAGCTGTTTCCCTGTGTCCTGCTGTATTCTTGTATGATCCCCTTGTTGCTGACCCGGCTTGTTCATGACCTGACTTCTGATTGCGCTCCTGCCTTGTTGCTAGTTCCTGATCCTGGCTCTGTTCCTGACTTTAGCTTGCTGATGATTTGGTACTTCGCTGTCCGCCCGTTGATGACCTTGGCTATTCCTGTGACCTTGCTCCTGTCTCCTATCCCAGCTTCCTGTCCTGCTCGAGTGCCCGCCTGGCTGTCTATTATACCAGCTCTGCAAACCATAAACAGTTCCTTCTTCAAGTCAGCTGGGAGATCTGACACGTCACTTATCCTGATCCTGTTGTGCAAGCAGAGTACCCTTTTAACCCAGGTGGGATTCCGAAACATCACTACCACTCCTGAAGCGGTGGTTCGCCAATCTCTTCAGGACTCCAACTGCAAGCTCTTCAGGCAACACCTGCTGGCACTCTTGTTCCCCTGGTCCCTCGGCACCTCTGTTCCACTTCCAGCGGGGTCAGGGCTAGTGACTCAAGTGAGGCCGACCTCGTCATTTCATTCTCCTATCAGGTACGTGACCAGGGGCGGACTGACCATTTGGAAGCTCGGGCACTGCCCGAGGGCCCGGGGTCAGTAGGGGGCCCCGTGAGATGCCCCTGGTACCTTTTTCATAGGCTTTTTTGAGTTTGGGCAAGGACACAGGGGCCCCATGATCCCCTATTTCCCAGGGGCCCCATGATTTGTCAGTCCGCCCCTGTACGTGACACTGAAGTTAGAAGCTGATTGGCTACAATGCACAGCTACACCAGATTTTGCACTCTCCAGGTTTAGTAAATCTACCCCTAAATCTATATTTTATTGGTTGCAGAGACTATGGGGCTAAGGGTGTGAACTCAGATATTACCTTTTCCTCTCGTAGGTGAGATCTGCGAGGATTTGTAGCTCTGCATGAAGAGTGTTATTGGAGTTCCAACTATTGCAGAGTTCAGTCTTATGGACAGAGAAATAAAGAGAAATAATATTTTGTACAGAACATTCTTCACATTTCTTTAATTAAAGTGCAGTTAAACCTAAAACCAACAATCTAAAATATTACAAATTACCAGTTCTTGGTAGTGGTTGCTGCATTCGTTCTTTCAAGCGTCTTTTACTTTATTTTCACCTGGTAATCCTGCAAATTAAATACTTCCTGTCCCCAGGTGACTATGTCACTCCTCCATTGCATCTATGGAGGGAACTGTGGTTGTAACCCTTGGCTGCTCTCCTGATATGAACTACAAACATGTCAGTATCTCTTCACCTCTATTACACTAAGGGCAGAGAAATTGGTAATACACAGAGGATAGTTAGCATGGGAAATATTCTTAGTTCAGCTCAAAGGAATTCACAAAGACACTACATTTCTGGCAAGATCAACAGTTTTTGCTCTGCATTTGCTGAAAATGATCTTAGGTTTAAAAGAGAAAATGAATGCAGCCACCACACTAAGGACGATAATCTGTAACATATTACATTTTTTTTCTTGGGTTAAGATAGGCTAACTTGGATGTTTGTGATCTCGGACAAAATTGCCAAATAACACAATGCCTGTTCGGGTGCCATTAATTTTCAATGGCACCAAAACGCAGTGCGGTTCTGCCACGATTGTAGTTCGATACATTGTACTGGAATAGCGGCAAACCGCATAGCACTACGCTTGTCACTCAAAAGGGAGCAGCAGCTTATTTTGGCAGACAAGCTTTGCACGATGCGGTGTGCCGTGATTGCAGCACAATTTATGGAATGACAATCACTACAGAACATGGCATATGTGTGCAAATGAAACCCCTGTTTTTAACAAGAACTGTGAGACAGGACAAATTGGTTGGTTGCAGGCAGGTTGGTAAGTTGAGCTGGAATTTTTCTTTGTTGTTGTTCCACGTGTCGCCCTTCCATATGCTCCTTGCTGCAAAGGCCCATTAGGTTGGGGTAGTTGCCATTTGTTTGTACATAAAGAACATGGGTGTTTCATTAATTGGGCATCGCAGTTAAAGCAAGAAAACAAACTCCCACAGATCTCTACAGAACTGGAAATTTCTCAAAATAGAAAATACTATTTTTTAAAGAAACAGTAAAGGGCTAAACTTCATATTAATTAAAGTAGAACTATAGGCAAAACTTTTTTTTTTTTCATTTGGGATAGAGCAAGGGAGGCTTATAACCCCTGTCAGATTTTTTTTCGCCATCTGTGTCCCAATGTGGGGATTTCCCTACACTTCCTGTCCTATAGTCAAACAGAAAGTGAGAGGAAATCCTTGTAAATTAATTCCAGGTCATCAGAACTAGTGACCCCATTGGAAGATTTCCCCTCTCTCACTTTTCTGGGGACAACCCAAAATTTTGGATTTTCATTTACTTTCACTTTCAATGATAAAAAAAAAACAGGGTAAATAACGGGGGGCACAGACAGCAATAAAAATTGACAGGTGTTCTAATCCCTCTCCGCTATTTCCAAATCTAAAAAAAAAGTTTTGCCTTTAGTTGTTACTTAATATCTAAATACAAAATTTCTATTTTTTTTAGAATTGGATCTAGTAGGGAAGGATGAAAAACTATATCACGATTTCACTACTGTTATGTCCATGTTAGGAAGGATTTCACTCCCTGTTTGTCTTGATGACCTTTGTCACCTAGACTGAAAGTACAGATAATTCCAAGATTTTACAGTTGTTTCCTAGACAGGTGAGATGAAATCATCCAACGGGACACCTGCTCCAGTAACAGCTGTCTAATCTAGATAGATTTTTGCTCACATTCTGTGGTGTCTCCAGGACTAGAAAGTGAAGGGAAATTTCCCCATCAAAGTACTTTTTTCTCCAGGTTCACAATCTCATCACTTTCACAGTATCTTTGTCTTCAACCACCTATCCCTCCAAGCAGCAAATTATTTCTTGTAGAAACCTTCACCACTTTAACCCTTCACTTCTGTATTCTGCTATTGACCACCTCTATAACAAAATCTCTCCCCTTCCTTGTCCTAACCTGGCCACCTCTATCTACAACAGTTCACTCTCATCCACACTGGACGTACTTGCTCCTCTAACTACACGTAGAATCAGGCCCGACCATTACAACCCTGGCAAACTGACAACACCAGAAATCTCAAGAAACATTGTTGTGCTCTTCAATGACTGTGGCGTAAAGCCAAATCCCTGAAGGACTTCACCGTATAGAAATCTGCCCTCCTAAAATACCATTCCTCCCTCCATTCTACCAAACAAACGTATTTGTCTATCTTAGTAGTACCTTGTCATCCAGTTCATCGGCTCTTCACTACCTTTACCTCTTTGCGTTGTCCCCCACCTCCTTTACCCACTAACTCACTCACAAGAGATTGCCGATTACTTCAAAGACAAGATTGATGCAATACAGGAGACACATCTACTATACAGATATCTTACCCACTTAACATACCTTGTCCAACAGCACAGTCAACACTTTCCTCTTTTGACCCTGCTACTACTGAAGAGGTTACCAAACTGTTCTCAGATGCCCACCTAACCAATTTCCCCCTGGATCCTGTTCCCTCACAAGTACTGAAGTCACCTTCTTCTTCTATCCTATGCTCTCCCACTCACATCTTCAATCTCTCCCTGTCTACTGGCGCCTTCCCCTCCCTCCTATAGCATGCACAGATCACTCCCATACTTAAAAAGCTCTCATTAGACCTCACCAACCTGAATAAATTAAGACCCATCTCCTTGCTCCTATTACCCTCTAAACATCTAGAACTAGCTCCTCCCTCACTGAAAACAAACTTCTTGACCCCCTACAGTCTGATTTTCCCTCGCAACACTCCACAGAAACTGCCCTACTAAAACTCTCTAACAATTTACTAACTGCTCAAACCAATGGCCACTACTCCATACTCTTACTACTAGACCTCTCTGCGGCTTTTGATACTGTTGACCACCTGCTCCTTCTCAATAAACTCCACTGCCTTGGTCTTCGAAAATTCAGCTCTATCTTGTTTCTCCTCTCACCTGTCACATGTGCTCCTTCAGTGTTACCTAGAACTCTGTCTCCTCCTCTCCACTTCCTCTTTCTGTAGGGGTCCCCCAAGGCTCTATCTACACCTCCTCTCTTGGTCACCTGATAACCTCCCATGGCTTCCAATACCACCTTTATGCCAATGACACCCAAATTTATCTCTCTGGAACTCTCTACCTCAATCTGTCTGGCTATCTCCCTACTCTGGCTGCCTTTAGGTGATCCTTGAAAACACATCTCTTCAGTGAAGCCTATCATACCTCCGAATAGACATTTATCACTTCCATACAGGCTCTTTTGAGTAGGGCCCTCTTAATACTCTTGTTTTGATTGTATTGTAGCTGTACTGTCTGCCTTTATTTTGTAAAGCGCAGCAGTGCAAACTGTTGGCGCTATATAAGTCCTGTATAAATAATAATAAAAATAATAAAAACTGATGGAGGCGCTAACCATTCCCTACTCAATACAAAAAAAATTCCTTTACTATAATTTAAAGGACAACCCTTTTAAATAATTCAAACACACCCCAGAGAGCAGACTGCCTGGTAAAAGACTTACCTACCTGTTCCAGCAATCTGGGCCAGGGAGTGGCCCTCCCTGGTTTCACACAGAGTGTGAGTGTGTGCGCACACACACTTGCAGCTCAGTTTATTCCCATGACTAAGCCATGCTCATTGCGACCTCCAGCCATCCCTTGGAGAGGACTGAATGACATGGGAATAAATGGGGCAACAGCACACAACATGGCAGGGGCAATTTAGTTGCAAAGCCTGTGTGGAGCTGGACAGAGCCATACAGTGGAGATCACTGGATCATGGTCGAAAGGTACCATAAATAATATAAAAGGCAGGCTTCACTCATGGGCATGAGGGGATGAGTTAATAGACTGCTATTCTGGCACATTTTGCTGGCTGGAAGCTAGAAAGACTGAGAAATTTGAGTGGAGAGTGAAAAACAGTTTTGCTTTTGACTGCCAAAGTGACATTACTGTCACTTATTAAATAGCATTTTTTCCTTTCCTTTCCTTCCTTCAGTCTGCTGATTAAGGGGAGAGGTTAATTGGTCACAGGTGTTACAGGTACTATATACCTTTCTGTAGAGCTTACTCTGAGCTTGCTCATCCTTCAGCTTACCTGTATTTTGCTTGCTGGACCTTTGACTAAGTGGTTATTTGATTAAGTGGAGTTAAAAAACCGGAGTTGAAAACAGGAGATTATAACAGGAATCTACTAACCTGTAAGTGACAGCTGATATTTCCTATTAGTAATATTAATATGGTAATTGGGACAATGAGTGCTAACAGGGTTGAAGGTTTTGAAATCTGATTTCTTTTTATGAGGAGGTGATCAAAACCTTGGACAGAGGGGTAGCAGTGGACGTGGTATACTTGGATTTTGCAAAAACATTTGACACAGTTCCCCACACACATCTAATGTGTAAGGTAAAATCTATGGGCTTGAAAAAATCCATATGTAAATGGTATGGGGAACTGTCTAAAAGATCGTATTTAGAGAGTAGTGTTTAATAATTCATACTCTGAAGGGTCTAGGGTTGTCAGTGGTGTACCCCAAGGTTCAGTGTTGGGACCCTTATTTTTTAATATATTTATAAACAATATAGGGTCTGGGATTATAAATACCATTTCAGTCTTTGCAGATGACACCAAGCTGTGCAGTGGAATAATGTCCTTACAGGATGTCTCCAATTTACAAGTCGACCTCAATGCACTGTGTAATTAGGCAACTATGTGGCAAATGAGGTTTAATGTTGATATATGTAAGGTTATGCACTTGGGAACTAAGAATATGCATGCATCATACATACTAGGGGTGGGTACAACTGGGGGAATCAATGGTGGAGAAGGATCTGGGAGTTCTGGAAGATCACAAGCTTAATAATGGCATGCAATGATAAGCTGCGGTTTCTAAAGTGAGGAAAATCCTCTCTTGTATTAAAAGAGGTATAGACTCCGGAGAGAGAGATATCATTTCCCCCCTGTACAAATCATTAGTAAGACCTCATCTGGAATTTGCAGTTCAGTTTTGGACACCAATTCACAAAAAGAACTTTGGGGAACTGGAGAAAGTACAGAGAAGGGCATCCAAACTGATAAGAGGCATGGAGGAGCTCAGCTATGAGGACAGATTAGAGGAACTGAATTTATTCTCTCTTGAGAAGAGGAGATTAAGGGGGGATATGATCAACATGTATAAATACATCAGTGGTTCATATAGTGAACTCGGTGTAGTTATTCACCCTGAGGTCATCACAGAGGACAAGGGGGCACTCTTTACATCTGGAGAAAAAGAGATTTAATCTCCAATAATGGAAAGGTTTCTTCAGAGTAAGAGCTGTGAAAATCAAGAGTTGGTTCTGGCCATCTCAGTGGGTTGCTTTAAAAAAGGCCTGGATTCTTTCTTGGATACACAGAATATAACCGGATACTAATATTTATAGGTAAAGTTGATCCAGGGAATATCCGATTGCCTCTTGGGGAATCAGGAAGGAATTTTTTCCTGCAGGAGCAAATTGGATCATGTTTTGCTGGGTTTTTTTGCCTTCCTCTGGATCAACTGTGGGTATAGGATTATAACTTTTTTTTTAATTTTATGGTTGAACTAGACGGACTTTTGTCTTTTTTCTGCCAGACTAACTATGTAACTATATAACTATGTAGCAATTGTCCTTTAAAACCATTTTTGTAAAGATATTATATTCATTCCCTTTAAAACTGTATATCAAATATGTCAGATTCAGGGAAAACTTGCCCAAGTCCAAGCTTGCTGGTTTATAATGCGAGTGTTCTTCAAAAAGTTTCCACAATTTTTTTAAAATATATATATAACTGCAGAAACATTTTGAAAACCCCTTTAGAAGTATAAGGAAGCTGAAGATTCTCTCAGTAGGTTAAGACCTGATCTGTATCCTGTCTTCTTTTATTTCACTTTGTTTCTCAGACAGAAAACATTCACAGTAGCCAAAATTGTCCCAAATTGTTTTTTTTATTGCTATTGCTATAGATCTATTTGTGCGATTATCTGTAACATTTTGGTCTACCCATTTGCCTGTCTTCAGCTAATCCCATCGTCTTTTCAGTATCAACCCTACAACTTCTGAAAAAGCAGAAGCCATTAGGAGACATGCGTAAATGACCACCTCATCGTGACTGTAATATTACAGAGCAGTGCAGTTACCTATTATCTTCATTCTCAATGATCCGCTTATACCTCTCCAATTCATTTTCCAAGGATTGCTGGTATATTAATAGCTGACGGCAGTCATTGGTGTACTTCTCCAAATTCCTTTCTGCTTCTTCTATACCTTTTCTGAGCACTTCAATCTGCTCATTGTACAACTGTATCTCATCATCATAGCTTTCCTGAGTGTTTTTTATAGCTTGTTCCAGCATGGAGGTCTGAGAAACAATACAGAAAATGAATCCCATTACATGTTCATAGCAGGCCACCTACTTCTATAACTCAATGATGGAGGCATTAAAAGAAAACCTCCTGTAAGAGCATCATGATTATATAAGAAGCCCCCGGGGTTGAATTCTAAGCCTCTCAGAGCCAAAGCAGTTCCTTTAAATTTAAAGTCAATTTATGTAACAACCAATTTCTCCTACAAAAAGTCTAAGTTTTCTAGTGTGTGAAGAAGTTGTTCTCCTCAATATATTACTTTTAAAGTGAAAGTCAAATGATTTTGTATTTTAGTTTTGAATGAAAAAGATTCAGGAGAAGAGACAAGCTTTCTACGTGGTAGAGAAGGATCAATGGTGGATCATTGATGGGCTAGGCCCCATGCTGCATTAAATTGAAGAGGTAAGTTTTAATAATGTGGTCTGAAAGTTCAGATAATGCTAAAAAGAAAAATACATCTAATCAAAATATAAAAACTGATCATAGGTAATAATTTACTAAAGGAATTATTTTACACTTAATTCATCTCCCTTCAATCATCTATTGATGACCAGGATTTAATTGCCAGGAAAACAAACTCTTTGCATTTTTTTAACACATTTTCTGAGATAAATAAAATAAATGACACTAATCATTTGTAGCCTCTATAGAGGGCTGATATACATAATATTATATAAAGTTATCTGAGGGAAAAGTAAATCGGTCCCACCCATCCGTTCTCTGTGGATTATTTAGCATTTACTCTGAGCGCCATATACAGTGCCTTGAAAAAGTGTTCATATCCCTTGAAATTTTCCACATTTTACAACCAAAAATGTAAATGTATTTTATTGGGATTTTATGTGTTAGACCACTTAATTGTGAAGTGGAAGGAAAATAATAAATGGTTTTCAAAATTGTTTACCATTAAATATCTGCCTTTGTATTCAGCCCTCTTTACTCTGATACACCTGACTAAAATTTAGCGGAACCAATTTCCTTCAGAAGTCAACTAATTAGTAAATGGAGTCCACCTGTGTGTAATTTAATCTCAGTATAAATACAGCTGTTCTGTGAAGCTCTGAGGTTTGTTAGAGAACATTAGTGAACAAACAGCATCATGAAGGCCAAGGAACACACCAGGCAGGTTAGGGATAAAGTTGTGGAGAAGTTTAAAGCAAGGTTAGGTTTTAAAATAAAAAAAAAAAATATCCCAAGCTTTGAACATCTCACGGAGTACTGTTCAATCCCTCATCCAAAAATGGAAATAGTATGGCACAACTGCAAACCTACCAAGACATGGCCGTCTACCTATACTGACAGATCAGGCAAGGAGAGCATTAATCAGAGAAGCAGCCAAGAGGCCCATGGTAACTCTGTAGGAGCTGCAGAGATCCACAGCTCAGGTGGGAGAATCTGTCCACAGGACAACTATTAGTCGTGCACTCCACAAATCTGGCCTTTATGGAAGAGTGGCAAGAAGTAAGCCATTGTTGAAAAAAAGTCATAAGAAGTCCCATGTGTAGTGTGCGAGAATCCATGTGGGGGACACAGCAAACATGTGGAAGAAGGTGCTCTGGTCAGATGAGACCAAAATTGACCTTTCTGGCCTAAAAGCAAAACGCGATGTGTGGCAGAAAACTAACACTGCACATCACCCTTAACACATCATCCCCACCGTAAAACATGGTGGTGGCAGCATCATGTTGTGGGGAAGCTTTTCTTCAGCAGGGACAGGAAAGCTGGTCAGAGTTGATGGGAAGATGGATGGAGCCAAATACAGGGCAATCTTAGAAGAAAACCTGTTAGAGTCTGCAAAAGACTTAAGATCAGGGCAGAGGTTCACCTTCCAGAAGAACAACAAACCTAAACATACAGCCAAAGCTACAATGGAATGGTTTAAATCAAAGCATATTCATGTGTTAGAATGACCCAGTCAAAGTCCAGACCTAAATCCAATTGAGAATCTGAGGCAAGACTTGAAAATTGCTGCTCACAGATGCTATCAGTCCAACAGAGCTTGAGCTATTTTGCAAAGAAGAATGAGCAGAAATGTCCCTCTCTAGATGTGCAAAGATGGTAGAGACATCCCCAAAAAGTCTTGCAGCTGCAATTGCAGCAAAAGGTGGTTCTACAAAGTATTGACTCTGGGGGGCTGAATACAAATGAACGGCACACTTTTCACATATTTATTTGTAAAAAAAATGTGAAAACCATTTATTATTTTCCTTCCACTTCACAATTATGTGCCACTTTGTGTTGGTCTATCACATAAAATCCCAATAAAATAAATTTACGTTTTGGTTGAAACATGACAAAATGTGGAAAACTTCAAGGGGTATGAATACTTTTTCAAGGCAATGTAATAATTTAGGCAATACATGTGTCTAGAAGGAAGGGGCACTGACATCCTGACTGAAGCCCTAGAGGGTTCTGGTTTGTATTTATTAAAGCAGAATTTTTTTAATCATTCTGTGTCTCTGTCTGAATATGCTGCATGTTTCTAAAACTGTTAAATCCCATAAAATTAATGAAATCTCTAAACATTGTAAGGTACCTAATTCAGAAAACCACAGTTGTACTACTTAAAATATTGCACTTGGTGGCAGCAGAGCACTAAACACGGCTACACACATGTATTGCATACTGTATATAACTCCAATGTATTGAGTCTTACAATTACCTAAACATTTCACCTAAATACAATTTATAAAAATACCAGTTGGAAATACCATTTTTTGTCATACCATTTTGCTTTTTACAGCCTGCACTTAATCTAAGCTTTAATATTTAAAGATGTATGGTCAGTATGGGGGGGTTAATAAACTGCATGGTGCAAAACCTGCTTAATTGAACAAGCTGAAGTTAGAAGCTGTTTGGCTACCATGTACAGTTGCACCAGATTCTGAGTACACCAGTTTTGGTAAATCTCCCCCTATGAGTAGTTTTTATTATAGACTCAGTGCTGTTGACACATAAAATCCCCATTACAGTAGACTACAACTGGGAAGACACATACGGGTTGTTAGGGAGAGATGAAAGTATGGATTATATTGTTTCATGTTAATTGCATTACTTTTATTATTACCTATTTACTTAAAGTGTGAATGGAACTAAACCCACTTCTCCATTGTAGCCAAGGAAGCTGCCATCTTAGCCTCTGTTTGATCTGCAGCTGCCATTGTGCTGCACATGTGATCAGTTCTGACATCAGTCATTTGATGGTTCGACAGTTTGATTGAGAGCGCAAGCAAATGTGAAAGTTAGCATTCCTGGCATACCTTGAATATAACTGTTGTTTTATATAAAGTAGGAATAGTATGGTGCAGGGGAGGACTGACAACTCATGGGGCCCCCGGGCAATAGGGGATCATGGGGCCCCTGTGTCTTTGCCCAAACTCAAAAAAGCCTATGAAAAAGGTACCAGGGGCATCCCATCGGGCCCCCTACTGACCCCGCGCCCTCGGGCAGTGCCCGAGTTTCCAAATGGTCAGTCCGCCCCTGGTATGGTGCTTGCTCCCAGGTGGGGAAACATCAATGATATGAATGAGATAATATTCTTTCAGAGACCTCATACCTCATGACATATTGCACATCATATTCCTCTTATGAACAGTATGGATAAAATATTGATGCCACAAACCCAGTGCTGTTATCGATATTCAACACAAGCTACTATTAAGCACTGTCAAACATCTATGTGAAAAATAGAAATACCAATGCTAAACGGTGTATAAAAAATGTAAACACAATGATATAACTAAAATCAAACCAACAACCGTGTCTTCAATAAATGCCTATGCACTGTAGATCCACAAATTGCTATAATACAACTATAACATGCTGATTAAAAACAAAATAAAGTGAAATAAAGTGACATTTATAACACTCGATAAATCAATAATGAATTGATACCATGATTGCTGTGCTGTAAGTGACATCCAAAATAAAGCATGCAATATTCAGTGCATCCATAAATGTTCAAATAATATCAGTGTCCAACATTCACATAATGCAATCTTGTCTGTAGTTATTAAAGATCCACACTCCTCCTCTGTGCACTTTGTAGCTGTGCTCCACCTATTTGCAGAGTGATTGCTCGCCCTAAAGATAGATCTCTACTCTCATACAGGTCTCTATGCGCTCAGGTCAAATGTCTTCAGATTGGTCTCTGCACTTGCCACTGGGTAATGGTCCCTTCAAATAGCCCTTCTCTTCCAGCATGCCTCGATGGTAGTATTCATAAAAATGTAAAGAAGCTGCCCATGGTGTAATACTGTAATATGCAAATTTTTATTAAATTAAAAAAACACAATCACAATAACATAAAATGCCTGCACATGAGTGTGATGCGCATAAAATCAATGGAATCAATCTCTCACCGAACTTTCGGTCTTGGCCCCAACTGGAAGTGACATCACCTGGCTCCAACCGACATGTTGCGTCGCCCCTGTTGATGTGACCCCTGATAACTACAGACAAGAGTGCATGGGCATAAGCATTATGTAAGTTTTGGACACTGATATTATTTACACATTTACGGAAGCACCGAATACTGCATTCTTTATTGTGGATCTCATGTGCAGCACCTCATTCGTGGCATCAACTCCTTATAGAGTTATGGAGTGTTATACATGTCACTTTATTTTGTTTCTAATCAGCATGCAATATGCGTGCGTCCGCCCTACACAAGGAAGCAGGCAATGACATACCAGGACCCACAGTCTGCAGCAGATTGCGAACGGGCTAGCCGGAAGTTTCCCCACCCGGGAGCAAGAACCACACTATTTCTACTTTATATCTACTTTTATGTATGTGGAACCACATACAGTATATCAAGTGTGAGCCGCTGCTTCTTGGTTTCCTTTCTTCTTGATGGTTGGTTTGGTGGATTGATTGATAGAGATAACTGAGAGTGTAGTACACAAGTATATCTGTAATTTGTAACAGTTTTTGAAACCTTTAAATTGATGGATTTAGCGGCTTTAAGTGACATGGAGTGAAATGAATTTTGTGT